TCTGTAAATAAGTACCGGTCAGCTTTGACATTTTGCAGGCTGTGATTTCTTTATTGCAGAGAAGATGTAATGAGTAAACGTTCCTGCACAGGGAGAAATGGGAGAGAGTGTGTTGTCTTGCAGGTGGCACAGGATTCCTTGTGCTTCCCTGGGAATTTTTGATAAGGATGGCAATACCTGACCTGGCAGAATTACCGTGCCAGTAGTGAAATTATCCACGGCAATTGAAGAATTATCAGCACCAGACGCATCCTTTGTCAAATTCTGAATGGATTATTTTTTTTCCTGCTTGCTTGCATCTTTCTGACATGCCCCAGTGACACTGTCAAAACTCATTATTGATGGTTAGGAGAGGGGTGATCTTGTGGTTAACTTTCTGCAGGGCCCTTTGACTGAGAATCCCTTTCCTGTCTTTGCAGTGTCTCAAAGCTGAAGACATGGCCAATGCTGTCATTTATGTCCTCAGTGCCCCCCCCCATGTACAGGTAGGCTGGGGCTGAGGGTGGAGGGGGGTGAGGGCTGCCCTGACATTTGCTGATCAGCCACTGTGTCAGCCCTGAGCTTAGTGAGCCTGGGCTGGGGATTAGTGGGGATCACGTTTGTTTACACTTCCTTTATGGCAGCTCTGGGATTGCACTGGTTGGGCTCTGGGATTGCACTGCCCAGGGTCTGGGATTGCACTGGTTGGGGTCTGGGATTGCACTGCTCAAGCTCTGGGATTGCACTGCCCCAAGGCTGCCAGAGCTCCAGGAGGGTTTGGACAATGCTCTGAGGGACAGGGTGGGATTGTTGGGTTTTCTGTGCTTCCTCAGGGACTCCCTCCCCTGGAACAAGAAATAGGTGAGCAGCTTTGAGCTGGAGCCAGGGGGAGGCAGGAGCAGTGTCAGTGTTTACCACGTGCAACATGAAAGCTCCTGTTGTGAAAGCAGACTTTGATCACGGGAGGCTGAACAACCCCTTGGGGCGAACTCTGCTCCTTGGGGCGAGACGTGGCCGCCTTGACACTGCATCCGTGGGGATGACTGGCCTTCTTGGCCTAAAAAGATAAAAAGTCCTGCCTGTGGCTGAAAGATAAAAGGTCCTGCCTGTGGCTGCTGGAGCAGAGCTGCTGCTTGGCCGTCTGGGAGCAGGACCAAACTGCAGACGTGAACCGTGGCACTGCAGCCAGTGCCCCCTTGCACCTTTTCTGTGCATATCTGAGCTTTTATCCCTCCTGCTAAAGGCAGAGCAGGCACGTTCACCTTTGCCTCCATCTCCCCAGTGCAGCATTTCCAGGGGGCTGCAGTGAAACCCTGTGTTGTCTCTTCCAGATCGGAGATATACAGATGAGGCCCACGGAGCAGATCTCGTAGCAGGCGCAGAGGCCCTCGAGCAGCGCAGTTGCATCCACTCCACTTCGGACCCCCTGGCGATCCAGGGTGTCAAAGGCTGGCTGGCAACCTTTTAATCAAGTACCAAGGATCATGTTTGAAGAATTATTTTTCTCTCCCTCTCTCTGAGCTGGTGCTGGTGCTGAGTCAGTTTGAAAAAAAAAAAAAACGACGACTGGTAGTGGGGTCTCTTTTCTCCCCCACTCCTTTGTGAAACTGCTTAAGAGTAAAATGTATCTGATAATAATGCAGGGAAGTGGTTTGTGGAAGATTGTTGTCTCCAGGCTGGTTTATTCTTCCTTTTGTTTTCTTTTCAAGGTTTGTTTGATCTCAGTTGCTGATGCTGTGTCTGGACCTAGGTGAAGTGGCACAAGGTGTTTGCCAGCTTCAGTGTGCTTAGGGTTTGAGATTTTTCAGTGGATGTCATACATGAATCCATCTAATATTTGGGTTTGTTTTCATCAGGTTGATTACTGATGGTGATGATGCATGTGGTGTTTTCTGTTTCTTTTGTATTCCACTGCCCTAAACCCAGCATACAGCCTCCCCCGCCCCTCCTTTCCCCTTCACATGGATCATGCCTGCCAAGTTTGAGGAAGTATAAATGTGTGTGCTTGATATTTCTCCTTTTTTTTCTAGATGATAGGTAAATAGTTGGAGGAAAAGTACCTGTACTTGTGTGCAGGTTAGAAGGATAATCTCAGTGGCATAGTTACAGTAAGAGTGAGTTGTTTGGTATTTTTAATAAAAACTAAACGTGTGCTGTCTTGTGATCACCTCTACCCGTGGTATCATCTCCCAGCACTCTCGATGTTCTGTGTGTGATATTTGCATGCATTGACACTTTTCTGGAAACGTGGATCAGTCTTAGAAAGATGTCTGGTGCTGTTGAAATGCTGGTGCTGAGGAGCTGGAAATGCTGGGAGTTTGTTCATGAGGAGAGATACAAACCCGGAGAGAGAGGGAGAGTGAAATGAACTGTCTGAAGGTGTCTGAAGTGAAAAGGGACTTGTAGGGGTGTTTGCCTGCAAAGCAGCAGGTGGAAGGGCTGGGCCAGACCTCGTGCTAGTGCTACCCTGGTGCAGCCCCGGTGTTTTGCTCTGGGTTTGCTCTGTTGAGGGAGAAGAGGACGGGCCTCAAAGCAGATCTGTGCAGAGCTGGAGACCACTGGGGTTGTCTGGGACTCTTTGCAGTGTGGTCTGTGTGTGTCCAGCCTTCTCTGGAGCTGCTGGACACGTTGCCTTAAGATTTCAGATCCTGCTCCTGCCGGACTCTGTGCAGTGTTTCTGAGGGCACATGTTGGTTCAGGTGGAGCTGGGATGGTCAGTTGGTCAGAGCAGAGGATTGAGAGCCTGAGAAATGTGGGTTGGATGGTTTGGCTTACACCAGTAGATCTCTGGGAGTTCATCTGTGTTACCCCACCGTCAGGGAGGCCAGAATTGGGCCACTACAACATGAGTTCAGCTCCCTGTGCAGCCTTGGGCAAGTCACTTTTACCTCTCTGCCTCAGTTTCCCCATCTGTAAAATGGGGATAATAATACTTACCTACCTCACAGGGGTGTTGTGAGGACTCACAAGCTTTTGTAAAGCACTTTGACCACGAGAAGCGCTGTGTAAGTGCTGAGTGTTGCATGAAGTATTATTATTAATGAAATCTTGTGATACCTAAAAATTCCTTGTGCCAAAGGTGAGCAGCTGTGGAAGGATACAAGGAGAAAACTGGCAAAATGTTCCTTCGGAATAGCAAAACAAAGGCAATTTGCCCCCTTTTTTTTTTTTTTTTTTCCTGTTTATCAACACATGCCCATGGTGTGTTCTGTCCCTTCCTCATCTGTCACCGCTTTCTACTGACAAGTGCACAGAGCCTCCTCTCTGGATTTGGCTTTTTAATTTACTGTGGGTGAAAGTCTTGCATGACTTTAGTGCACTGCCCTCCTCCAGCTTGTTGAGGCCGTGGCTTTCTTTGAGTTCTCTGCACAGAGCAAATCCAGCAGGTGCTCTGTGCAGTGTGTGTGCCATCTTTTTAGGAGAAAGAAGTTAAACTGGGAGTTGGAGGCCAAAAAAACAAAACAAATCAAAAATTTAGAAATTGGGAACTTCTGAGAAGGAAAAAAAACCGAGCAGGGATGTGGTGAAACACTGAATTGGTGGCAGCAACTGTGTGCAAAGTTCAGCAGATGTTGAAATGCGTGGCTGAGGAGGGACCTAACTTATCTCTCTGTGAAAGGAGGATTTGGAGAGAATTGCTCAAGAAGGGCCAGTTTGGGTAGTTGCTCCCTGCAAACACAACCTGGTTGCCCCGCAGCCCTGCAAGTTGTTTCGTTGTGGGTTCTTTTGTGTTTGTTTGTTTGTTTTTTTTCCCTTCCCCTCAGGAACATTTGTAACATTTGCAAGTCTTGAGAAATTATGTATGTCCAGTATATTTTTCCATTTCCAGGGTGTGTTTCCAGGGGGTAATCCCTGCTGCCCGTTAACCTCCCCCATGAAGCGCAGCCCGCGGAGGGTTCGGTGCGGGTTGTTCAGCCTCGTGGCACCTCCAGCCACCTTCCTGGGATGAGACGGGACACCAACCACCCTTGAGGCATTTGAAACCCCCCCAAAACGGGAGGATCAGCTGTGTAATTTATCAGTAGGTTTCTAATTGTGAGCTGTAAAATAAAGAATAAAAAGAGAGGCACACCGTGGCTCGCGGCGTGGTTTTTGTCATTTTTGTGTTCAGGCGTAACAGCCTTTTTACTTTTCCCAGCTAAACCTCTGCTTAGTGACAAATCCAAACAGAAACGTTGTGGTTGTTTATGGCAATAAACATAATTACTTTCTAGAGCAGAACAGGGTCCAGGTGTCACACGGATAACCCGTGGAGGTTGGACTCACCTGCCCCCGTTCAAATGGAGCCACAACTCCAGAGGGGCTCCCTGAACTCCCCAGGTGAGCTGGGTTTGGCTGAACTGTGCAAGGGGGATCAGAAATGGGGGGAAACCCGGACTGGATTAGGGGCAGAATTATCCCTGTTAACTGAAGACGTTTTGTTCCCCCGTCCCCTTTCAGGCTGTCCAAGCACAGAAGCCTTTGGGAACGGGGTGGCGGAGAAACCCCCACCGAGGGCGAGGGGGGCATGTCACTGCCGTTCACACGCTCATTTTACCGTTCGTGTTAAAACCCCCCGGGCTAGACCCGGGCCAGCCCCTTCGCTGTTTTTCCCCAGCGTTTGTAAGTGCCGTGATTAGGCGGTCAAAGCTGTTCCGCGGTTAATTAGGCTCCTGTTCATTAGCGGGAGGGTCGCTGTTCCCCTCCCCGCCGCCAGACGGCGCTGCCGCGCGGGGCGGGACCCGCGGCCGCCGGAACCGGAGCGGGCGGGGCGGGAGCGGCGGCCTCGCCCGGGGGTCCCCACGCGGGTCCCGAGAAACCCCCGAGCGGGTCCTGCGGGGCCGGGAACCCCTCCCAACCCGTGCCCGTGTTGGGCGAGTCTGGAGCGGAGCGCGGTGTTTTCCCTCCCCGCGCGCGTCCCGCTGTGGGGGTGGTGCGGGGCCGGCTCCGCTGGGGCGGGGGATTGAACGGGACTCATCACCCTCCGTGGGCGGCATTCCCGGCTTCCCGCGGGCGGGACACGCCGCCTGGAGAGGCCCGTGGGCGCCCATGGAGCGGGCGCTGATGCCCCGCGTGTGCCGCGCCCTGGAGCTGCTCCGGTGGCCGTGCGGGCTCCGGCACCGCTCCACCCGCGAGCAGCCGCCCCCAGCCGCGGGCCGGGCCGAGGAAGGTCCCCCCGCATCCCTCCCGCGGAGCCCCGGAGCGCATCCCGGCTCTGGCGGCTCCTGGGGGACCCCGCGGGGACACCCCCGGGCGGGACACAGAGGGGCCGGGCGGGGTTCGGCGACCGGGCGGGAGCTGTGGCTGTCCCAGCTGGATGAGTTCCCCAGGGCCAGGAAAGGGATGGAGCGAAAGCCTCTGCGGCTGGAGAGGACTAAGGGCTCGGAGATCCTGTTCGGGGTCGGGCCGTGCTCCCTGGCGCTCAGCCAGGCGCGCAGGGACCTGTTCAGGCTGTTCCTCAAGCAGAGCAGCTCCCGGCGGCCCGTGATGAGCGAGTTCGTGCTCCAGGCCACGGCCCGCGGGGTGCCGGTGCTGCACGTCCAGCGGAGAGAGCTGGACGAGCTCTGCAGGGGTCAGGTCCACCAGGGAGTGTGTCTGGAGGCCACCCCGCTGCGGTTCAAGAGTTTGGAGGACGCCGGAACGCCCTGTTTGGGGGGTGAAGCCAGTGGGGACCGGCAGGTGATCTGGCTGGTGCTGGAGCAGATCCAGGACCCCATGAACCTGGGGGCACTGCTGCGCTCCGCGTACTTCTTAGGGGTGGACAGAGTGGTGACCAGCCACAGAAACAGGTACTGGGCTCTGCATCTGCTCCTGCAGCCCCTCTTTTCTGCCCTGCTGGCTCGCAGAGGGGTTTCCAGCCTGCATCAGAAGAGCTTTCCGGGGCTGAGCTGGGGAGCAGGGTTTTGGGTGGCTGCTGCTCCGCAGGCAGGCTGAGGGATGTGGTATTCCAGGTTGGGAAGGAACCCTCTCTGGGCACTTCTAGTTTTAACCCATTTCGTGTTTCAGTTGTCCCATCTGCACAGAACTGCTTTGACCTATTTCCTGGGTTGATTCCTGAGCCCTCCTACTCTCCATAGGAAAACACAACCCTGTGGTGCGCGGGGTCTGTAGTGGGCTGGTTGGAGTAGGGCTGCAGAGGCCGTAGAAGGGAATAAAGAGAAAAAAATTCGCCTGGATTTCCTTTTTTTGCTCTTGTATGATGCTTTTTCCTTGTTTTTCCCTTGCAGCTGCCCCCTGACTCCGATAGTGAGCAAAGCCAGTGCTGGAGCCGTGGAGGTCTTTGATGTCTACAGCACAGATGATCTCCAGAGCTTTTTGAAGGTAGAACGATTCACTGGGGTTTTTTTTCCCCCCCTTTCCTTTCAAGAAAACTCAAACATTGCATGTGTGGATCAGGAAGATGACTGAGTTGTTTGCAGTGTCTGTGTTCCCGCTGTGCACTCCTGTTTGCTGCCAGTGGTCTGAGCTGTGGGACCACCAGTGACAGGCACAGCCCCCTCCTGCCCCATTCCATCGGCTGGGGATGGGGTGGGGGTGTTTTTCCTGGAAGCTGGTGGTGGAAGGATAACCCTGTGGCTCTCCCACACTCGGGCTGTGGGCTCAGTGTGCTGGGATCTGTCTCCCTGCCCTCCCTGGAGACTGGAGCTGTGCCTGGAGCGTGGCAGAGGCAGCATCCCAGGGCTCAGGCACACGATGGCAGCATTGGGCAGCCTTTGGAGCAGCCTTTGGAGCAGGGAATAGAGGGGAAAGCAGGGCTGGAGAGCTGCTGGGAATCTTTTTACTATGCAATGAGATGAGATAGGGCCCTTTGCAGAATGTGCTGCAAAAAGAAAGGGAATGCACATGGAAAAACTGAAACAAACCCAGGGATGTGGCTGTGAATGGGTATTGTGGGCCTGTGTCCCTCTGAGGATGAGCTTGTCACAATCTGGTGTGGCCTTGAGAGGAGAGGAGAGCCTGGACTCTGCCCACTTGCTGCTAGAAATGGGTCTGTGGCAGCTGGAGCTCTGGGTGACGGTGAAATGAAAGATACATCAAATACATTGATATTTAATTGAAAAGCTGGAAGAATCACTTTGTTACTATCAAGCTTGAATTACTAACAATTTGAGCCATTGCAGCAGATCATTTAATTGGACCTGGACTCACGGGCCTCACCCCTGGCATTGCCTGGCTGGAGTAAATTTGATGTAACATCGAGTAAAAAGTGCCAGTTTCCCAGGAAATGAACCTGGCAAGAAGCAGCAGCTCTTTTATTGTTAAAATGGATTTCCAACACAAATAACTAAGGCTCTTTTCACCAGGGTGCAGGAGGGAAGTTTGGGTCTCTGGTTACATGAGGTGCTGACTGCCCTGCCTTTTGTGCGAGCTGAATTTTGGCATCTGAGTTTGCAGATGTCACTGTGGGCTTGTGGTGGCTGAGCCTTCACCCAAGAACCTCCTCTGCATTGCTCTGTGCATTAACCTTATGCTAATTTGTTTAACACTACTCTTTTTGCATGCTTTCCTGGCAAAAAAAAAAAACCTTCCTAGAACTGTTGCATGGGCAGAAAAAAAAAAAAAAAAAAGCTTTTCAGTTGCTGTTTGTTTGCTTACTGAACTGGAATAAATGCCAGAAGGAAAATTACTCTTTTGTTGTTGTTGTTGTTGGTTTCTCAAGTCAAGGTTTGTCTGCTGATAGTGGGAGGACTTCGGTGGTAAAAATTCAAGGGATGCCTTGAAAAGTACAGAAAAAACAGTCAGCTTAACTGAAAATGTAAAAAAAAACCCCACCAGTGTCTTTTCATACATGACTTATTTTCTTTTTAAGCTTGAAAAATTGGCCACACTTGAATATTTGTTTCCCTTCCTTTTCTAGGCTAAAACTGCAGAAGGCTGGGAAGTGGTGGGAACAGTCAGCAAACCTGAGGATGTGGAAGACGTTCCTGTCATCAGCTGCTTGGAATTTCAGTGGGATAAACCCCTTATTGTAGTCATAGGTATTGGGATTTCCAGGGCTGTGGGCTGGCTGGGAGTGCAGGTGGGAGGGGATCACCAGGGGCAGGTTTCACTGCAGGTCCCTTATGTTACGTCACACTTTGTCTGGAAAAGAAAAGAATGGTCTCAGCTGCCCCTGCTCCTCTTGAGTCCCCATTTCCCATGGGAAATGGGGACTCAGAGGAGCAGGGGCAGCTGAGAAGCCTCCCAGTAGGAGCTGCAGGAACGAGCAGTTTGTGTGGGTGCACAGGGAGTGGAGCAGCTGCAGAGGGTCTGGGTGGCAGTTTTGGTGCCAGGTGTTCTGAACTGTGCTCTGTGCTGCTTTGGACCCTGTCCTGGAGCCCCAAAGCCTGGATTTCCTGGGTGGGTGAACCCCTGAGGTGAGGGGGAGCCCCAGTTTGCAGCAGGGGCTGTGATGGTGAGCAGTGCCATGTCGTGGCTCTGTCATGTTTCCTCTTGAAAAAAACAGGAATATATTATAAAGAACCACGAGGAGCTCTCGTTTGGCGTGGTCTGAATGCAAGGCTGGGCTTTGGGGCACAGGGACCATCACAGGGAGCAGTCAGTGGTTGTTTTTGTACAGCCAGGAGGAGGCAGGAGGTGTTGGCTGCAGGAATAGGTGTATCCTCTCCCTGCTGGGAGCAGTGGGTGCCACTTCCCTCAGCCCCTGACCTGGGTAATTCCCACAGGGCTTCTGCTCCCTCGGTGCAGAGGATACTGGCAAAGGACGCTGCTTCTGTGGGCAGAGTTTGGGGTCCTGCAGCCTCCCAGAAGCTGAAAGGAAGGGCAGGAATGGCTTTTGTGGCAGTCAGAGACAGAAACTCCCCCAGAAGTGCTGTGTGTGGCTGTGCTGTGTCCCCCCAGCTCGTGTCACCTGGCACAGGGGCCACTCTGAGCTTCCACACCTGGAAGTCCACGAGCTGTGGAGGGGCTGCAAACCCGCCCCGTGCCGTGGTTGTCTCGGCTCGGAGGACATTCCTTTAATTAAAATGTTTATTGAGCCCCTGGAAGTCCTGACAAGGCGGTGCCGCAAATCTGGCACCTCTACGAGACGTGTGGAGCTGTGTCACAAAGGGAGCAGGCAGGCTGGCAGCGCTGCTGATGGGCCACAAAGAAATGCATCCCAACACCCGCAGAAAGGCAGGGGGTGAGAGTGGCAGCGGCGTCGTTACCTTGAGTTATGAGAGATTTCTCCAGGAAAAAAGTCCAAATATCCTTTTGTCAGGGGAGATTGGGAGGCTGATTGGTAGATGCATGAGGAGAGCTCCTGGACCTTGCAGCAGTAATGATTTCAACTCTCTGCTGAGCACTAACTCTTCTCTGGGAAGAAAATTGAACATTACAGTCATCTGGCGCTGAGGCTGTTGAGGGAGAAACGTCCTAGATCTGAATATGTAGCGTTCCTGCAGCTGCAGGGAGCAGCGGAGATAATTCAGCCTGGGAGTGAGCTTCCTGGCACCACACAGATTGTCTTGTAAGTTAAGTGCTTGCAGACTCCCAGTTCCCCCTCCTGGCGTCCTGGCTGGCTTGGCAGAGAGCGATTTGGACAGTCCAGCTTAATGCTGTGTGTGCTGGAGTCACTGCTGGAGGTGGCTGGCTGCCCTCGGGACTGGGAGCCTGGTGAGGGCAGGAACAGATGGGGAGCACTTGGATGGCTGAGGGAGAAGAGTGTCTGGGTGATTTGTTCCTCTCAGACCTGCAGTCTGTGGCTCGGGGTTTAAGGCTGCTCACGGGGTCGGTGGTTTTTTTTGTGGAGATGCTCATTTCGTGTGTTTCTCTGCTGGGTTGGAACTTCCTGCACTGGGGAACTGCAGTTATCACTGGTGTTGATTGTAAAGTGGGGCAGGAAACCTGTTTTATCATTTCACCAAGCTCCAACACTGGGCTTTGAAGCCTTTCAGTGAGGAGCAAAGCTAAGAGATGGAAGTTAAAGATCTCTAGTGGGAAGTGTTCTGTTCACCAGTATAAACCAGGATTTAATCTGGTTCAGTCAATACTCCCTCCCCCGTGTCACACCGTGCAAGCCTTTTTGCCCTGAATTTATGGTTCCTAATTATTTTAAACAGCTAGATCCATAAAAAGCTTTGTAAAAGCTGGAAGCAAAATTGGTGCCTTTATTAGGAATCGTAAGACCCTTATCAGGGACAGGAGGGGATTGCTCCAGGAGCCACTGCACCTCTGGCAATTGCTGCTGTCCCAGTTGGAGAGTCCCAAGAGAGTGTGGTTTGAGAGGCTCAGGAGGCAAATATGACTGTAAGTTGTAAAACTTTTCTATGTTCAGTCAGGAAAAAGTAGGATGCTATTTTTGGGGTGTTTTTTTTCAAGCATCCCTGGAGAGCCACGGGGTAGTGATGAAGAGGCAGGTTGGGCCGTGGGAGGCCTGGCTCTGATTCCTGCTGTCACCCTGTCTGGGGTTCAGCCAGGTCAGGCTATGGCTGCTGGAGGGGAATGTTTGGCTCCCACGTGCTGAGCCTGCTTTGCCAGAGGTCTCTGGAGCGAGCTGGCTACTCCTGCATCTGTGTAACTGTCTGTGCAGCTCTAAATAATGAATGTGGAAGAATTCTTTGGGGAGCCAAGCGGGCTGGGAGGTCCCTGGCCCTCTGCATTCTCACTTGTCTGCGCACAGGATTGTTTAAAGCCTCTCCCTTTCCATTTCCCTTTGTGACAGTGTGAGTCAAACAACTACTAATGACCTGGGATAGATTTCAACTCTGTTTCAACCAGTGTATCAGCCCAAACATATCAGGGCTGCTGGATGGTTTAACAACTAATCAATTGAAGCCTCTGGTTAAACTGTCTGCATGCACAAGTTGCACCCCGCCGGTGGTTGTGTGTGCTGGGAAGGCTGAGCCCGTCACTAGCAATAGGGATGTGGGATTTGCTGGACCAGAGCAGTTCTGTGGCCTCTTGCCTGCCTTGTCCCAGTGCCAGCAGCCCGTGGGCACGGGCAGCTCTCTGCTGGCACAGCTCTGCTTGTGCAGGGGCTCCTTGTGCTCAGACAGGGCTGTGTGCAGGTGCACAGCATTCCTCAAAAACACTCCTGATAGTGGAGAACAGATGCAGGGAGGGAAGGTAGGAAGGTGCCTGTCTCAGCCCTGGTAGCTCTTGGCTGTTGCTGTGTGGGAGCTGCTGAGGTTCCTGGCAAGCTGAGGATGAGGGTGTAGGTGTGACAGAGTCCCCCCTGAGGAGGGGGGGACAGAGACGTGGCAGCAGCTGTGAGCAGTGTCTTTCTCCTGCAGGTAGTGAAGGGGAGGGCCTTTCCCTGGAGACACAGCTCCTGTGCCACAGGATGCTGGCCATCCCCCCTGGCAGAGCCCTGCACCCCGGCATCGACTCACTCAACGTCTCCGTTGCCACCGGTAAGAGCAGCACTGAGCACAAAGGCACTGAACTTCAGACTTCTGTGTTTAAAAATCAAACATCCAGGCCCACAGAATGGTTTTCTTGCTCACAATATTTATTTATTTTTTTACTTTCCTACAGGTATCCTCCTGCACTCCATCTGCAGCCAGAAACGGAGGCATGGAGATTGAAATCCTCTTTATGTGGTGGGGGAAGCTGCTCAGCATTCCCTGGCTCTGCTCCGTGTGGAGATGGAAAAGCTATTCCCAGGGTGTCCACCATCTCTGCAGGTCACAGGCACAGCCCCACTGACCTGAGCTCCGTCTTTGCTGTGGAGGATGCCACCAGATCGCTGGATTAGTGCCCAGGGCAGACACCTCCTGTCCTGGGTAGCACCTGGGAGGAGCAGCTCCAGGGAAGGGAGACCAAGCCAGGCCTGAAAGCAGCCAGCTGTATCCTTCAGTTTTTGGCAGGAGAACACCCAGGGGTGGCTGTGAGCTTCCTGCTCGTTGCACAGGGGACGCTGGGCATCACCTGAGAGCTGTGGAGAGAATTTGGGCTGCAGGGGAAAGTGCTCGGCTGGTGCTGCCACTGAGCCCAGCCGTGTGCCCACCCTGAGCCCACCACCCGCTCAGCAGTGAGAGGGAGCTGCTGACAGCCCAGCTGGGCTTTGGAACCCTCAGCAGGGACTTCCTCGTGAGGAGGTGCTTTCTCTGTGCTTGGCTGTGGAGCAGGTGTGCGGCCCCGCTGAGGGATGGATATGAACTGTTGGAAAACTGCGGGAAAAACACACACAGCCCGTGGAAATAAAGCTCCTGTGAAGTTTGGTATAGACTCGAATTGATGCATTTTGTGTCATATATAAATCCAGTGTGATTAGCAGAGCACTTCCTTCAGGTGGGAATAGGGATCTTTTTCCAGGAAGGTTTCCTTTCTGTGGTGGGCCTGATTCTTCTGGATGCTGAGCTGCGCCAGCATCCTGCTGATGGCACTGGGGTGGCTTCATTTGCAGATATCCTGGATGAAAACCAGACTGGCTAAATTACTGAGAACCAAAAGAATGTTATCACTTAGCACCTTAATTATTTTATTTAGCTACTGTGGCCCTTTGCATAGGATTCCTCATTAACACTTAATTTACTGTGCCCTTTAGGGATAATTTCAAACAATTCTGCTTAGTCTGCCCCCTCCCCCACTTCCAAATGACCGAGTAAATCACTCTGAGTGACTAATTAGGACTTTGAGCTAAGTGATGTCTGTAAACTGGTCTGTGGACGTGGAGGTTTTTCCCTGGGAGGGTCTGGCTAGTGGGAGCTGCGGGACGGGGGGACACCCCAAGTGCCCGGGATGGGGCACAGGACAGGACAAGGAGCTCTTGAAAGGTGTCCAGGACTCACTGCTGTGGCTGTGATGGAGAGAATGCCTGGTGTGGTGACAGGTATGCTGAGCTGTGCCCACGCAGGACAAACCCCAAGTCGCTCCATAACAGTCCTGTCATGCCCGAATCTGAACTGGTGCAGTGTGGGGTGACAGCTGATGCATTTTGGGGGATAAATGTTCCCTTTTTTTTCTTTTTTAAAGCTGAAATGAGCCTGGAGGCCTCAGCCAGCCCCGTGGTGCTGCTTGCCAGCCGTGGCTGCCCCAGCAGAGGGTGCCCGTGGCTCAGATTTGCTCCTTTTTCAGAGGAAAGATTCGAAGATTCAGCACTTGAATCCTTCCTCTGGAGCAGCAGGGATCAGGGTAAAGCTGCTTCTTTATTCTTGACCCATAGGTAAGTATATTTATTTCCCATCTCACTGCTATTTCTCCCTTTTTATTGCCTTTTTTTTTTTTTTTAATTAATTTGAGCAGTACTGTGACAGAGGAGGCACCTCATGGCTTTGTGTGGTGCTGTCAGTCTGTGCTCAGCCCCTCAACGAGGAGGCAGGTGAGCAACCATGGAACAGCTCCTTTACCTCTGGAAGGCTCCCAAAAACCTTTGAAACCTCAGTGCCCGCAGCAGCTCTGCCAGCAGAACGAGGGGTACCCTGAAATTCCTGCCTGTCCATCAGGAGCACGGGGACCTCTGCACTCTCCCACCTCTGGAGCTGGAGCTTGGTGCTGTGTGACTTGCCCCTGATCTAATAAATGCAATCCATTAATTGGATCATTGCCTGCCTCTCCAGTTAATTTCCTGGATATTTTTAAATGTTAAAATATAGTTTTTATAGTCTTTCATTATTTTTAGCCCTAAGCTTGACTATAATCGTCCCTGTAATGTAACTGTAAAAAACTCCCAGCTTTATATCATAAAGGAGGACATTAATTGTCATTTTGTGTGTACATCAGCAAGATCAAAACGTGTTTCCTGATTACTTCTGTTTGTACATAGAGCCCCTTTGATATTTAGATATGAATAAAGTATGTGCGTGTGTAATTTGAAAGTCAATTCTTCCCTCCCTGCTGCTTGTCATAGATTCCTTTCAGAGGCTTATTTACCAAATTGATTTTAAAATTTACTAATTGCCCTTCCAGAATGATTTCTCAATAATCAAAGTGTCTCTAAGCACAGTGGCAAAATATTTGTCCTCCTTGGTTCAGAAGACGAGTTGGGCGCTGTCGCCGCTTTATCCTCAGTCCAGGGAGAACACAAATGTTCTCATCTCCCCAGGCCGGCCCTGGGGAGCTCTGGCTGTGCCAACAGCTCAGCTCTACCCACATTCTGCTTCAGTGCTTGCATTGTCAACACAACTGAAAAAATCCCATCCCATCAGATCCATCCCTGGGGCCTGGAGAGGTCCGGGAGGCTGGAAGGGACAGGGAACACCTTTCCGGTGGCCAAGCTGGAGCTGGGGTGGCACAGCTGGAGGGGGCAGGGGTGGCACAGCTGGAGGGAGCAGTGTGGGGTGCTGTGGGCAGGGGGCAGGAGCTGGGAATGCTGCCCACGGGGCGTCTCTGGAATCCTCCGCCGCGCCGCAGCCCCGATCCAGGTTTGTAAATGTAATCAACCTTGAGGTCTTGTCACTTCCACAGGTGCAATTAAACATTGCCATCTGCTAATCCGTGATTAATGATGTTTACAAATATGCTGCAACACGTTAAAATGTGCTGGCACTCTTTGTTTTGGGTTTGGTTTGTTGGTGTTTTTGTTTTTTGGGTTTTTTTCCCCCCTTTATTTTTTCCTCTTCCAGCACAGGAGCTGCGCTGCTGGGAGGGCTTTCCCCACAGAGACCTCCCTGTTACCCCACTGTTAATTCACAGACATTTTGTTTCCTTTATTTAAATAATTCCATTAGAACTCCAAACCAGCTGCAGGAATGACGAGTTCAAATCGGAGGGTCAGCGCTGCTAAACAGGATTTAATTGCACAGGGTGGGGGGGTTTGAGGTACAAACTGACGAATCTGAATAATAAAACTTTGTGGGGAGCAACATATGGTGCAGTTTCAAGTAAATTTTTTCATCGACCGTCCAACGACTGATGCGTTAATGGGATGGCAGTCGTTGCTTTGGGTTTCGTATCGACATGGGGTTTTAATAATGTCACACAGGAATATTGGGGAAGGGTTTATAATTATTAAAAAAAAAAAAAGTGTTTTCTATTAACTGCTTTTTTCTTTTCCAGGAGAGAGGAATGCATTAGGTGGCTGCCGTGTGTCCTCCAGATCTGGGTTACGTGTAATTGCTGGGTAATTGGTAGAACCATGTAAAAGCCATGGTATTTGCCAGTAAACCCTCCTAAGTTACCATGAAATTGAAGTGTGATATTTATTCTCTACAAAACTTGCTGCCCCTGCCGTCGTGCACGCTCGGGGTTGGTCTCTGCAGAGGCTGAGCCGTGTGTGGCACCCCCAGGGCTCAGGTTTGGGGTCCTCCCAGGGCTGGGGGGAACTGCCTGGGAGCTGGAGGGGTTGTTGTGCTTTGACCTGCCTTGGGCTTCAGTCTCAGGGTTATTCACAGAAATACAGACTGGTTTGGGTTGGAAGGGACCTTAAAGCTCAGCCAGTCTCACCCCCTGCCCTGGGCAGGGTCACCTTCCACCAGCCCAGGTGGCTCCAAGCCCCGTCCAACCTGGCCTTGGACACTTCCAGGGATGGGGCAGCCACAGCTGCTCTGGGCAACCTGTGCCAGGGCCTGCCCACCCTCACAGGGAAGGATTTCTTCCTAATATCTCACCTAAATTACAGCTATTAATAATCTAATATATAGAGATTAGAAATAATAATAATCTAATAATACTCTCATTATTACAGCTGTTTCAAGGCCCAGCTCAAAATGATGGAGGTGTGGAGGTACCTGAAGAAGTTCTCTTCTAAAGGACAGGGAATAGTAATTACTCTAAGGATGCTTTTTTGAAGCCTTTGGAGATGAATTATTTGTGAGCACACCAGGGGTACATGCCCAGGTCACCTGTATTTTAGCTTCCAGTTAAGTAGGATGTCCAGATCTGTTCGCAGCTTGGCAATTTCCATGATTTAACCATGACTCAGGTTTGGAAGATTCCAGCCTTGGGAGTGTGTGTGACCTCACTCAGAGGAGCCTCCTCATGAGCTCTTTCCCCAGAAGGAGGGGATGGGAACTGTGTGGATGGGTCAGTGAGAACTCCTTTTGGCCTCCACGTGGCTGTAAACACGGGCAGCAGTAATTGCCTCGCTTCTGATCAATAGTTTTATACACTTTAAAACTGTAGCCGAGCACTGTGAATTGATGCAAAGTTCCACCTGCCAATTTTAAACCTATTTATTTATTTATTTATTTATTTATTTATTTATTTAAGCTGGCCTGTTTTAGAAGCTGCAGCCTCAGCAGAGTGTGTGCCCTGCACCGGAGAAGTGGCAGCTCAGCTGTTTTCTTGGAAGGCCTGAACATCCCATCCTGCTCATCCCATGGATCCATCTCCGGCTCCACCAGGGGCTCTTGCACAGGATGGAAGCTGCAGGGCCTGACCTCGGGTATAAACCTCTTTTTTTTTTTTAGCATTGTTCAAGCTGCCTTTGAAAGGTTTGCACAGAAATGAAAGGTTTGCAAGAGTGGTTGGCATTCCCTGGCATCTTTGCCAGCCCTCATTAGCACCTTCCAGCAAAGCACAGCTTATTCCAGCTGTATCCCAAGTCTTCTGCTGGAGATTGCATCTGTGCCTAATATGCATTTTTATATAAACAAGGGTACTAAATGGCCCTTCACTTCCCTCTGTAATGTCTTTTTTAATGGAAGGTCCTGAATTAAGAACATATATATATGACTGAGAATTTTCTAAGTGATATTGAAAACCTATTGTAAAGTAGGATTTCTCCTTGCAAAATTATTTTAATGAGGTTCCAGTTTATTTTCTGGCTATATTTTACTTATTTAATCCTCCAGAGGGGCTTTTCAGAGGCAGCATCTCATTTTCAATGCAACTATTCTTAACATTAGGGAAAACTACCTTTCTGAAATGCATGAAGGGAAAAAAAAAAAAAAAAACCCGAACCAGAGGAAGATGTACGAGATAAGAATAAACTTGAAAAGCTTTGAGGTGGTTTATGGCTTCTCTGGAAAGAATAACACTTCATGTATTTTTGTTATGGTGTGGTTTAATGATGCTTGCAGAAAAAAGATAAGGTAGAAATGGAAATATAAAATTAAACCAGCAAAGTGAATGTGATTATTTTAGTTACCAGTATTACCTGGGGAAAACGCTCTCGGGGTTTTTTATCTAGACTAAATATTTGCTTTTCTGAAAGGGAAGGCCCTCTGCATCTCCCAGCACGAGGGTGGGGAGGGAAATGTTCCTGTGGTCCAGCAGGTGGGGGAGGATGGAGGAGACGGCACGTTCAGCACAGCCCCATCCCAGGGGTGCCTGTGGCACGGGGCTGATGAGGATGAGGAGGAGATGACCCCAAAAGGGGCTTCACAGCCTCCCCCTGTGTCTGTGCCACTGCAGGTGCCCCGAGCAGGGTGGGCAATGAGTGGGAGGCTCGAGGGGGATCCGGCTCCCAGGGATGTTTGTGCCCGGGGCGGTGGCCTGATCTGGAGAATCTTGCTTCCTTCACTGGGATCTGGGCATGGCTGATTCCCTGGGAGGCATGGTCTTGTCCCACCCCTCCCCTCCCTGGCTGTGGATGCAGAGCTGGGACCCCTGTGGCAAAGTGCTCAAGGGCCACCCCAGTCCAAGAGCTCCTGACTCCTCTGGGCAGCTCCACAGCTCCCCAGCCCGAGCTGAGCTGGTGAGGGATCCTGCTGGTTGTGAAGTTTGATGGGGGCTCCGCAGGATCAGCCAAACTCAACTCAGCTCTGGCACAACAGGCACAACCCCAGCTGAGCTCCTGAGCATCCCCCTCCAGCCACTGGGTCGTGAGAGGTAAATTTGAACTGAGCCTGAGGGGTGGCCTTGAGCCTTGCTGGGTGGTGGATTTTTCAATTTCTTCCATGGACCTGGAAGAGCAAAAAGTTTGTTTCTAATTAAAATTCTTGGAGATCTATAATTCAAATAGCTGAAAAGAAGCAGTTTCTGCGTAGGTTTCTTCGCTATC